ACCATTTACCTTCCCTTGGAGAAACAGCTGGAGAAGGCCGTAACGTTCTTGATTTCTCATTACATGTCCTAGATATTCGAACTTTTTAGTTTTGACGGTCATGAGAATTTCACATTCTTTCCCTATTCTACGCAGAACCTAAACATTAGTAACTCTGTCAACCCAGGATATACGTAAGATGCGCCTATAACACCACATTTCGAAAACTTCGAGCGGATTCATAGATGCAACAGTCAGTGTCCACGCTTCCATTCCGTAGAGCAAAACTGTGAATATGTAGCAGTTCAATAGACGACATTTTGTTTTTAATGATATGTCTCGACTGTTGAAAATGGTTCTCATTCTAACGAATGCTGCTTTTACTTTTATTATTCGCTGTTTAATTTCTGTTGAGTGGTCCCATTGGCTATTTAAATTAGTGTCTAGATATGTATATTGCTCGACTCTTTCGATATTCTGTTGGTTGATTGTAAGTTGAGCGTTTAGTATTGGTTTTTTACTAATTGTCATAAATTTGGTTTTCTTTATGTTAAGAGCTAGTCCGTATCTGTTGCTGACTTCTGTTATGCGATTTGTTAATATCTGTAAGTCATTCAAATTATCAGCAAAAACTATAGTGTCATCTGCATATCTAATGTTATTCAACCATTCACCGTTTATTAGTGTAGTCGGTTCGCTATATTTACGCGGGTTTCGGATTAACAAAATTATGCTAATGACTCATTGATAACCAGTTGCAGTACACGACTTCCCAGAAAATTAGGAAAAAACTGCATTAATGGTCATATTTTAAAATACATTAAAATAACATTAGTGTAGGTATAAATTTGTTAAAATATTGCAGTTGAATTGATTCTTTGCCAGTGTTGACATTGTATATTTGGTGGAAATATTTAAAAATGCCTAGACGTGTGTTAGATGTAGATAGTCTAATTTGTAGTGTACAAAAGTATTTTACGGATGAAAAAGAAAATGGCGGTCCTTTAAAATCGGTAACGTCTGTTCAACAACGCGTATGTGATGCTCTAGGAATTAGTGTAACCAAACTAAGAGTATTACAAAATCGCAATAATGAACGGCCGAAAGAAGATCACCGAAAAACTCGCCTATCATTGAAAACGAAAGATATTCCAGATGGAAAAAAATTTGAAATTCGTGATACTATTTATCGAATGCGAGCCAACAAGGAACATGTGACCTTAAATACAATTCTCTCGGAATTAAAAGATAGAAAATTTGACGAAATTGGCAGAACAAGTCTATGGCAAGTGATACATAATTTGTGTTTCAAATTTCAAAAGAAGGATAACAGAAAAGCCATTTGTGAAAGAAGTTCTGTTGTGCATAAAAGAATTAACTTTCTAAAAAATATTCTAAATTAAAAGAAGAAAGGGCAAATTTTATATATTTAGACGAAACATGGATATTTTCTAGGGGTGCAACCAAGAGAATATGGCAAGATGATAACGTAAAGTCTATCAAATATACTGATGGAGAAGGGAAGCGACACATAATTTTACATGCAGGAGGGAAATCGGGTTTTATAAAAGGTGCTGATTTAATATTTTCATCTAAATCAAAATCAAGTGACTATCATGATAATATGAACACAGAAATGTTTGTAAAATGGTTACATGAAAAACTTCTCCCAGGTTTAAGTGAGCCCAGCGTAATTATTTTAGACAATGCACCTTACCATTCTGAAGTATTAAACAAAAGTCCAACGAATTCTTGGACTGTTAATAAAATTAAAGAATGGTTGACAAAGGAACATATACCATTTACACAACATATTTTAAAATCAGAATTATTACGCTTGGCAAATATCCACGCAAAACCAAAAACCTTTGTAGAGGATCATATTATTGAAAGTTACGGTCATCAAGTTTTACGTCTGCCACCGTATCATTCCCAGTTTAATCCTATCGAATATATATGGTGAATAGTGAAACAATATTATGACAACCATATTGGGCCTAACGGTTATAGCGACGACGCAGTTCGGGAAACTTGGCGAAAGGCACTTTCAATTGTAACTCCAGAAGTGTGGTGCAACTGTATATTCAAGTGCGAGAAACTAATAGATTGGTGGACTCGTGAAAATAAAATAAACGAAATAAGTCTAATCATAATAACAATTAATGGTGATGACAGTGATGATGATGACGATTATGATATTTTTGATGATAACGACTGATTTTCATTTTTGTTGGCAAGTTAAATTTTTTTATTTTTCATTAGAAATTCTCTCCATGGAACAAATATACATAGACCATATTTTCTGTGTGAAGTGTAATATAAAATTATTATTAGGTTTATATTAGCCACATTAGACTCCATTAATGAAGTAATTCTCGTTATTATACTATCAATTATATAAAAGATTTTCCATTATTATTTAATTAAAAAAAGTTATGGGTTATTTTTCATTTCATTTGACCAGTTGATATTTCCCCAAAGAGCAGGTAATTAAAACTGGGTACTTACAATAAAAATTTTAAATACCCATTCAGAATAAATATTGAACAACAATGGAGACAAAATACAGCTTTGTCGTACTCCACGTTCTATTGCAATTTTGTCAGTTAACTGGTCTTCTATTTTGATTTTGGCCGTTGGATTGTAGTAAATGTTTCTGATAATTCTAAGATCTTTGTTGTCAATTCCAATTTCTTGCATTGGAGTCTTTAATTTGTTATGTTTTGCTGTGTCAAAGGCCTTCTGGTAATCTATAAAGCATACGTATATGTCACAATTCACATCCCTGCATCTCTGAAATAGCACCTGTACAGCAAAAAGGGCCTCCCGTGTTCCCAGACCATCACGAAACCCGAATTGTGTTCTTGTTAATTGTTCCTCACATTTTGTATATATTCTTTTGTGAATGACCTTTAGAAATGTTTTAAGTAAATGGCTCATAGGGCTTATAATTCTATAGTCTTCGCACTTTCTCGCATTGGGTTTTTTTGGAAGATTTATAAAAGTTGACACTAACCATTTTTGGGGAATTATGCCTGTATCATATATATTGTTAAATATATTTGTCAACCCTTTTATGCCATCATAGGCCATAGTAGATGACCCTTCATGACGATTTCAAATTTTTAATTTGAAATTTCACACAGAAAGAGCAAAACTGTTTTAGTCAAAAACGTTTTTGTTTGAAACGTAAACGTTTTTGTTCCACAAGAAACATTTTGTTTTCAAGAGAAACAAAATATTTTCACAAACCATACTGCAATCAGTTTTAATAAAGATGTTGACAGATAACAACGAAATTGCACTAGTTTTCTGACAGTTGTTCCTCCTACAGGACGAAAAAACGCAAAATAAAAGAATACTTCTTATTCACTACTCGAGCGGTTTCAATAAGGGAATTCCAAAAACACGTTGCGCCTGCGTACATTAAAATGTTTCGATACAAAACGACAATCCAGTAATCAACATCAAACAGACTGACTAAAACTAAATGAGCTTAAACATGCTTTAGACACACGACTAATCAGTATGCGTCAGCTCATTTCATTTATAAGGAAACATCAGCATCAGACTCGTTTAGTCAAAAACGTTTTTGTCTAAAACAGAAAGAGCAAAACTGTTTTAGTCAAAAACGTTTTTGTTTCCACACGAAACATTTTGTTTTCAAGAGAAACAAAATGTTTGCACAAACCATACTGCAATCAGTTTTATTAAAGATGTCGACAGATAACGACGAAATTGCACTAGTTTTCTGGCAGTGGTTCCTCCTACAGGCAAAAACAAGCAAAATATCGCTGTTTCCACATACGTATTGACTACTCGAGCGGTTTCAAGGAGGGAATTCCAAAAACACGTTGCGCCTGCATATATTGAAATTTTTCGACACAAAACGACGATCCGGTAATCAACATCAAACAGACTGACTGAAACTAAATGAGCCTAAACATGCTTTTGACACACGACTAATCAGTGTGCGTCAGCTCATTTTATTTATATGGAAACATCAGCATCAGACTCGTTTAGTCAAAAACGTTTTTTGACTAAAACAGTTTTGCTCTTTCTGTGTGCGGCCACCCTAACAGGTTGGACCACACTGATCCAAGAAACTTCGGAAACAGTTATAGGGCGACAAATCATTTATAAGGATCTCAGCATAATTTTCATGTAAACTTGCGTTATCAGAATCAAATTCTAAATGATTTCTCACTTGTCATATTCAGGTATAATCTAAAATTTTCAATTTCAAGTTTCAATTTCAAAAAAATCGTCAATTTGTCTTAAAGAAAATTATTTGTCGGATTCCTGTTCGGATGATAAAATGATCTCGTTAGGTTCTAGACACTAGAAAATCAAGTGTGACACTGGCTATACCGTGAAGAGCTACCATTTCTTCTTGTCATGTATCGTCTGGCAAAAGTCATTTGGAACAGCATGGTTGGTCCCAAACATTTTTTCCAGTTTTTACATTTTTCCATAGATTTCCCTTTTACTTTATTTACGTTTTTATTTACGTTTACTTTTCGTATTTTTTTTTTAGAATAATTTGTCTTTTCTTCTGGCAAAAACACAACAAATTGTGACATAAAAAATATTTAAAGCATTGTAAGAAAAAGAAAAAAGCATATAAGCTTATAGTAGAAATCTTGGAGCCTCGATCTACTACAAAAATGTAAAAGTAAATCCAGATAAAATGTAAAAGTAAAACCTTCCCAGAAAATTTATAAGCATTCGTAAATCAAAAAGCTAAAATAATTTTACGTTAAAAAACAAAGTTATAAGAAGCATGCAGAATTTATTTCATATATGCTTTTACAACTTATTTGTAATGTTTTGTATTAAAGGAATTCATTCTGTTTAATTATATAAAGATATCGTTTTATTTTAGTTTTATTTTTGTGACACTCTATCTAAAGCTATAACAATGTTACATCTGGTCCACATCCATAAAATATTGAGATATCTTGCATATGCAAGTGCTATAAGTAGAATATAAGACACTGACGATTTTTATTTTGTTTTAGGGATCGACATAACGTCCATGAAGATGTATCAGTTTTCATTCGCATTTTGGCTGTTGCTAATACAAATATCAAGTCGAAGTAAGATTTTATAAAAATAATATTGTATTTGGTATTCAAACATTTTGTTTTAGTTAGAGAGTTTAATGGTGAATATATTGGAGCAAGACAGCGAATATTCCATCCTAGTAGAGGTGAGTGAAATGCTATTTACATTTTTGACAGGGAGTTATAAGTTGAGAACAGGTAGTAAATATCGCAGGGGTCGTTAGTTTAAAAAATACTACTGAAATTTTAATAATATATATCTGTTTATTGTAATTTGTATATAAAGATTAGAATCTAATTGAAACCCCGAAATGATGACAGAATTCTCACAAAAAATTCTACCTCTTTAATCTTGTACCTACTTAATATCCCTGTTGAAACACAATATATTATTTGTTTACAGAATACTATTTTTGTGTAAAATTATAAAATACTATTTATAAACGGTTTACATTGTTTTAATTTGTTCTTAAATTGTTGCTATAAATTGTTTTAAAAATGTTATGTCAAAGTACTTAGTGATCGATCGTCCAAGTTGGTTTGGAAACTCTTTTCTCTATTTTCTCATTTGTTTGGAACTAGTATAGTTGTGGTATAATAGTATAGTTTAAACAGGATCCTATTGTGTTATCCCGTGGGAACTTTATTGCTAAAATGTAAAACCCATTTTTTTTGGTTTTTAATATCTTTGTAAGGCAAAATCACTTGGTCGTCCAAAAATCGTAGTGGGAGGGGGGTGGTGGGGAGCCTTACAAAAAAAAATGCAATTATTTTTTTTCATCGTTTTTCGGATGTACAATATCCGAACATTTATTCATCAAATTTGCATACCCATCTGGACATTAGAAATATTTTTATTTTATTTATAAAAATACGTCAAACCATTGTTGTATATGGAGCGCCTTCATACAAAATCAATTGTTCTGAAAACCCATATTTTTAAAATCTTTTACCTCGCTCTACCTCGAAAAATATTGGGTTTAGCAAAAAATTACTTTCTATAAACATTATAGACCAAAAATCAAAGAACACGTGGGTTTTTTTTAGAATTTCGATTGGATACTTAGTTTAAGAAAAAATTAAATAAATCGAACGGCATGTCACGACGGACAGTGCTGAACGCCGAGATGCGAGGAAGGGCGAGATTTCTAATCTGAAGTCAAAGCAAATCGACTCTAGTGATGGCGATGTTGTTAGGGTCGATTTTACATTGAAACGCTGTTGTGTTGTATATTCTATTGCGAAAGTGCATCATTGTGCATTATTTTATACTAATAGCGCGAAATCCACTGAGCTGAGATTTTTTATATTAAAAGTTTTAAATTATTAAAAGTTATTAATTAGCTTATTGCTATAATAAAAATATTAAATATCTACTTAATATTAAAGTAAATATGTTTTTCATCTAGAAACGGATTTAACGAAAAGCAGCAGGTCTGACAGTGAACTTGAGTCAAAAATCAGATTAAGGCATGTTTTTTTCCATAAAGTCCATTTCCTTTTCAGTTTGTTGAAGGACGCGGAAACTGGAGAATACATTTTTGTTCTAGTTTTCGAAAAATGCATCCTTACTTCTTTGCATTTGGCCATGTGAACTATTCTTTTTGGGGAACATTATATTTGTTGGACATGTACAAATTTGCTGATAAGTATCCAGAATTTCATGAAGACTTTATTAGAGGAAATTTTGTTGTGAAAAGTTTGAACAGAAACTTTTACCAACTATTTGTAGATACAGCTTTAAACATATAAATACAAACTCAAAAGATGCAGGAGAAATCGTGTGATTTACTAAAACCAGCACCAAACTAGACGAATGATTTTTAAGCTATAATATGATTGGCATGATGGTAGATGAATTTCGTGCATCATGAGACCTAAGCAACCACTCAAGTCAAAACGTAGAAAGTAGAAAAAAACGGATGAAAATTGATGAATATTCTGTACAAAAACTACATGGTCAGTTTTTACGATTTAATGTATTTTTAAAAAGCGTAGATCGTCTTCTCGTAATTTCAGCTAATGAGATTGCATCGCCAAATGTTCAAACCATCCTTACTAAATATACAAAAAAAAAATGAAAAAGAGAGCCTAGCGAAATGTATTGTTACTGTTGGAACTCCCAATTTTTATCAGCATAGAAAAGAGAATAATCTTCCAAGACTTCGTCGCGCAGGTACCTATAAAACTGTCTCTGAAAAGAAGAAAATTATTCAAGATGAGCAAGAATTTTTACAAAAAATACTAGCAACCAAGGCAATTGAAAGAGACATAAATATTATGAGGATATTTTCAAATATGAATTGACAGTATATCCAATGTCACTTGTACCAGCAGGAGTTTTATCGATACCATAAAATAAATCTGCCTTAGGTTCTATAATAGAACAGTTTACAGTTGTTACAAAATCACAAAACGTGTCACATTTTTGATGGTATGGGATTGATTCAAGTAGTTGGCAAACCATCAAATGCCAAAACATTTGACGACTATGCAAGAATTTTGAAATCAATAGTGTTCAAGAACCCCTACAACGTTAAAAGGATCGATTTTGTTTTGGATCACTACAAGGAATCTTCCATAAAAAACTGCACGAGACAAAAGAGAGGCGCCAAAATTAAATCAACACAACGGTTAATTAAAGGTCCGGATACAGTATTACCTCAAAAATGGAATTCATTTATTAATTGAGTTTTTAATAAAAACCAGCTTACACACTTCGTAAGCAATCAGCTAGTTAAATATTCCTTAACAAATTGTACCGCTCACTTCGTATCCAGCAGAGGATTTTGCGGCGTTTTACATTACAAAACAAATTTTGGTTTGAATTCTGAAATATTAGTCTCATCACATAAAGAGGCAGATACCAGAATAATATTACACATTCTGTCAGCAAAAATGGAGGGATATACAAAATGTATAGTCGACTGTAAAGTTACCGATGTGCCCATTTTAAAGACCTTTCAACTCCAGAAGTTTAGATAAGGGTTGGAACAAAGGACAACGAAATATTTATAGGTATCCACGAACTCTCTATGGATTACTCCCTAAGGAAATGTTGACCAGCCTTTCATATTGGAAGGTATTTCTATTAAATTATAGTCTCCTATCTAGAGTGGGAAGTGAAGAATATTTGAGCAAAGATGTTTCCGATGATATGATATTGTTAAATCTGTTATTCTTCTTAATACACCTAAGGACAATATTAAGTGTATTAATACTCTAAGAGGTATTTTGGCCACTACGAAACCTATTCATAAACTGCCTCCTACTTTAGACAGTCTGAGGCAACACTGCCATACACTTCCAGACGAAAATATGGCTATGTAGTGCGACACCAAGACCATGTCTGCCAAATCCGTTGCTAAGTGGCTGGAGTAAACAAAATGGAGAGCTGGTACCAGTTTTAAACACGGAACCCATGTTGACGAAAGATACATATATTCTGAACAGTTGTAAATTTAAAAAAGGTGAATCAACTTTTGCCTTTTTATGTGAAGAATAATTATATTAGCTTTTTTTTAATAATTTTCAGACTGTACAGGGCCCAATGTTCGTGTAAAAGGAAGCAGATCAAATGCATTGGTTCTTGTAAATGTGTGGCCCAGGCGAAATGTGGCAATAAAGGTAATATACGTGAAACAATTTTAACCGTAGAAGATGTTAGTTCTGAGAATACTGAAGAGTCTGACTTAGAATAAGATAATTTATGCCAATCATATAGTAGCTTAAAAACCATTCATCTAGTTTTGTGCTGGTTTTAGTATATCACACGATTTCTCCTGCATCTTTTGAGTTTGTATTTATATGTTTAAAGCTATATCTACAAATAGTTGGTACAAGTTTCTGTTCAAACTTTTCACAACAAAATTTCCTCTAATAAAGTCTTCATGAAATTCTGGATACTTATCAGCAAATTTGTACATGTCCAACAAATATAATGTTCCCCAAAAAGAATAGTTCACATGGCCAAATGCAAAGAAGTAAGGATGCATTTTTCGAAAACTAGAACAAAAATGTATTCTCCAGTTTCCGCGTCCTTCAACAAACTGAAAAGGAAATGGACTTTATGGAAAAAAACATGCCTTAATCTGATTTTTGACTCAAGTTCACTGTCAGACCTGCTGCTTTTCGTTAAATCCGTTTCTAGATGAAAAAAATATTTACTTTAATATTAAGTAGATATTTAATATTTTTATTATAGCAATAAGCTAATTAATAACTTTTAATAATTTAAAACTTTTAATATAAAAAATCTCAGCTCAGTGGATTTCGCGCTATTAGTATAAAATAATGCACAATGATGCACTTTCGCAATAGAATATACAACACAACAGCGTTTCAATGTAAAATCGACCCTAACAACATCGCCATCACTAGAGTCGATTTGCTTTGACTTCAGATTAGAAATCTCGCCCTTCCTCGCATCTCGGCGTTCAGCACTGTCCGTCGTGACATGCCGTTCGATTTATTTAATTCTTTCTTAAACTAAGTATCCAATCGAAATTCTAAAAAAACCCACGTGTTCTTTGATTTTTGGTCTATAATGTTTATAAAAAGTAATTTTTTGCTAAACCCAATATTTTTCGAGGTAGAGCGAGGTAAAAGATTTTAAAAATATGGGTTTTCAGAACAAGTGATTTTGTATGAAGGCGCTCCATATACAACAATGGTTTGACGTATTTTTATAAATAAAATAAAAATATTTCTAATGTCCAGATCAACATACAAATTTGAGGAATGAATTTTCGGTTATCGTAGATCCGAAAAATAACGAAAAAAAAATTAGCACTTTTTATTGTAAGGCTCCCCACCACTCCCCTCCCGCTACGATTTTTGGACGACCAAGTGATTTTGCATTAGAAAGATATTAGAAACGAAAAAAAATAGGTTTTACATTTTAGCAACAAAGTGCCCACCAAAATCTATTCTAGAAGCCTTTTGCCAGTCTATTTACTCTACTATAAAATAAATAAGAAATATAGTAGAACGCTCAGATTTGTAGGGTTTGATAGTTCTGCTTTAAGATATAGTGCGGGAGCTGGTTGTTCTAGTAGTTCAATCCATCTATCTATCTATAGCCCAAAATATATTCATGTGTTGAATATAGGCCTCCCCATTAGTCTACATTGTTCTCTGTCTTCTT